TATGTATGTATATAGTTAATTGATTTGACCTTTTGTTGCTCTCCTGTTTTTATGGTTTATATGCATCCTCTTTGCTGCACTAGAAGTACATCTATTTTTATATCTTCTTGCTTTTTAAGATCCAGTGCTCATCGTTCTACAGGTGTATTCCATTTGTTCTTTCTATGTTTAGAGGACTGGCCACTCCTGAAATCCTGTGTTGAGTTGTGGTTCCTGCTACATGAAAAAAAGATGTGGACAGGCTGGAGAGGGTCCAGAGTAGGGCCTCAAAGATGATCAAGGGAGTGGGAAGTTGCCATAGGAGGAAAGGCTGAGAGAACTGGGTTGGTTCAGCCTTGAGAAAAGAAGGCTTAGGGGGGAGAACTTATCACCATGTTCCAGTATTTAAAGAGTGACTGCAAAGAAGATGGAGACTCCCTTTTACAAGGAGTTGCATGGAAAAGAGCAGGGATAGTGGGTGTAAGTTGCTCCTGGAGACATTCTGATTGGTCACAAGAAGACAGTTTGTCACAATGAGAACAGTCAGCCACTAGAATAATCTCCCCAGGGAAGTGGTGGATTCCCCAACGTTGGACACTTTTAAGATATGGCTGGACGGGCTGCTGGGCCACCTTGGTTGACACTTTTAAGATTTGGCTGGACGGGCTGCTGGGCCACCTTGTGTAGACCATACTTTTACCAGGAAAAGTTGGACTGGCTGATCCTTGAGATGCCTTCCAACCTGTATGGCTGTATTCCACAATCAAGGCTTCTTTCACTTAGCTTAACATAAAGTGTATTTGTCTCCTATTAATGTCTCCTGCAGCTTTTCCACTGATACAGGAAAGATAAGGTATCTTTCTGTGTCCTAGACCAGTGCAAACAATTATAATAAAAAAATTAAGTCATTGAACTCTAATGATTATTTGTTTTGTCATAAAGATTAAGAGCGTTATCACAGTAAGATAAAATGTTAATCTCCAGTAAGTTTACAAAAAGTTCATTTACACTGCTTTTTTATTACAGACCATCAGTGAAACACCTAAAATAATTTGTCCTTTCACACTGTTAGAGGATCAATTTAGTTGGCCCTTCATCATCCTTATATTTAGAGGCCAAGAATAATAGCCGAAGTAAAAAGATCTTTCAGCATAAGCTGAGCTGGGGAAAGGAAATAAAAAAATATACAGAAGAAAAAAACGTGGGCAGTTTTATCTTCTTGGAAAGACATTGGAAACCTCTGTGTGTGTGCTCATTTCAAGCTAACATTGTGTATTTTGTTCCATTGCTCAGATTTGTTATTTTCACTGATTTTTAATTAGAATTTCCTCTTCTCTCCTTACTGTCTGAAAGGAGTATATGATGCATATTCTTGTTTTAAAGTTCCTTTCATCTCTCTTATAGTGTGCTATTTTCTCACTGAGACTGGATAGAACTCCTGGTTTAATCTGGTGAGAGCTTAAAAGACACTAATAGTGCTTGAATGCTACCCTGTTCTCATCACATTGTCTGAAAGAATCCCAGATACCTAACACAGGAATACTATAGGTTAAACTATGTATTTTGTGGGGATTTTTTTCTATTAAAATCTATAGTAGTTTGATTCAAAGCCCAATAAGAGAAGCAGAATTTTCAAGTTTTGTAGTTATAGATAGAACCTAGTAATAACCAGCTGGTTATTGGTTATTGACATAAAAGCACAACCTGTGTATGCAAATTATGCTGTCTTGGCTGTGATTAGAGACAACAGCTTTAAGGATGATGCAGCAATAGATGGTATTTGCAGCAGGGACAGAGAGGAGGTGTGTCCCTGATGCCAGACAAAAAGAACAGCCACAAAAGAAAATAAGCTCTCGAGTCAGCGTTCGTAACGTCCATTGTCATTGCAGTAGCAGCTGCATCTGGAAATGAGGCAAATAGAATTTGAAATGAAGAGCTGGAAAAGAAATTGCCACTTGCTTGCAGGGATGGAGACAACTCTTGGGCATGATTGCCAATTAACTGCTCTGTATTTTCTGACAGCTTTGATAACAGGCCAAAAAAATGGCAGGACCTGCTCCTTGGCCTACTCACTTCATCCTCCCTGGTTCCTTAGCCACAGATACTCCTCAGGACACAAAGAAATACCACAGTGGTTCCAACAGTAGTTTGTATCTGTATTAATGTTGGATGTGGACAATTTCCAGGAGACTCCAGTGAATTGTCTTTTGCTACAAAAAGCCTTCCAGGCATAGAAGACAGGCCAGGGATAGATGAATGTTGTCGGCTCACATTAAGCGTATTGTCAAAAACTAAGAAGAGGATCAAGGGCTGTTTATCAGCATTAAAACAGTGTTTGTACCTACCCTTGTACCTACCCTCTCCTGCCCTGGAGAGGGGCAGGAGATGGTTTAATGTAAGCATAGGCTACAGAAAATCCAAGTGTCATATGCACACTACCAGAGTTCAGAGAAATGTTCTCTGCAAATGAATGTACCTTTCAACAGGCAGTCATAGTTTTAAGACATGTACCTTGAGCAGCTAAATCTTGTCAGAGTTGCCTATGCACTGAGTCATCTTGGGTGGTGATAAGTCTGGGTGTGCAAGGTATTTATCAGCTTAGCTAGAAGGTCCTTCTTTCTGTATTGAAATCGTCTGAAATGTCTGACTAGTCTTGGTGTTGTCTCTGATTGTCAGACTCTGTCTCTCCTGAATGCCAGAGCCATGATTGCAGCACTTCCGCCGTTTAATTGACCAGCTAATTTACCCTGTAATGATATAATAGGGTATTTAAGGCTGTCTCTTTAGCCCAGAGTTATTAGCTTTATTTATCTGCTTCATTCAAGAACAGATGTTTCTACTGTGTAACTGAAATAATCAACGTCTTTGGAAATCAAGGATTGCTATTTTCTGAAATAGAATGTGATGGAAAATCTGAATTATGTATCATAAAAGGACAGAAGTGAAACTCATTGCAATTGCAACTTAGCAGAAATTTTCTTACAAAATCTGACTCATGATAATGGTAAGCAGTTAAAATCATTCATGGTATGATAGGAGTGATGTTGGGTTTTATGCCTGCATGGCTAAATATTTTACTTACACTCTGTCAGGCTGTTTCTATATTTCAGAGGACTATCATCTGGGATTTTATTTCAAATTTGGAGTCCTTTAAATTCCTTAGTAATATGGATTTATATGTTGTTGGTTTTTTTCACCAATTTTTCCACAGTTGATTATTTCTTTTTTTTGCCACATCAGATTTCCAGTGAGTTTTTTCACCAATTTTTCCACGGTTGATTATTTCTTTTTTTGCCACATCAGATTTCCAGTGAAGATACTTGCACTTCCAGAAACATCTGTGTGTAGGGTCCTTTTTTTTCTGACTATATATTTTAAATGTCTTTTTTGAGTGTGAAGACTGGTACATGTTGCTAGTAAGCTTACCAAAATGGCTAAGTAGGATTTTAGTACTTAAATAAGATCTAGTGACATGAAGGAAAAAGACTTAACTTGCCACCCACACTCAGGGCCATATCCTGTGTGACCCACAGGAACAGTCCCCCTGAAAACAGACAATACTAACCCAAGTAAAGCAGACATGATCTACTTAAAATAACCCACTGTTGTTTAAGAACTCTTTTTATAGCATCATGGAAGAAAAGCTTTTCGTAAAAGGTGGGAAATAATGTTACAGTCTTTGCCAAGAGCCGTGGTAAAACCAATCCTTGCAGTTAGGCTTCCCCTTCTTGAGTCTTGTCTAGTAAGTAACAGTGCAGGTCTGTTGATGTCCACAATTTCTGGGGAAGAAGCAGCAGCATATGGCAGAGCTGAATATACTTATTATGAGCAAATAATAGTTTGGTCGTTACAGGAATTTTATTTTCTTGCTCTAAGGGCAGAGCTGAATATACTTATTATGAGAAAATAATAGTTTGGTCATTACAGGAATTTTATTTTCTTGCTCTAAAGCAAAATCACCAAACCAGAAGGGAAAACATATGCAAGTATAGAGCAACTATGATGAAAATACTTCTGTAAGGTGGATTTTTGCCACTTTTAGCTTCTAAAGTAAAAGCAGAGGTGGAACATTTATCGTAGGCACAGCCCCACCTGCAGCACATAGTGCTCTGTCTCTCCAGGCAGGTGCTGCTCAGAGCTCAGCACAGGCAGGCAGTGCTGCCTTGGCTTGGCTCGTGTGTGTGCCAGCAGCATGTGCACAGTGGAAAATGGAAAATGCAAATATAAGCTCATGGATTGAGACAGTTGTGTGTGACTTCTTTACAAACCTGCACCGACTACCAGTAAGTCTGAATCATCCTGTTGTAGCCAAGCTTCACTCAGAGGAAATGGGTGAGGATCTGTCACAGGGGTTTATCAACCCTTGCAAAGGTGCCTTCAGCAGTAGGTAAAGATTCACATTGGTACTACAGTGTTTGCCCAGTAAAAGTCTTCATTCAGCTAATTGGCAGCGTTACGAGACAATGGGCTTGGCACAAGGGTGGTAAAGGTCAGGAGGTGGGAACTCTTGCAGCAGCTGTGGAAAGGCTCCTCAGTGTTCCCCCAGGGATTGCAGGCAGGTACTGAGGCTTACTGCTGTGCAATTTTGGAGTGCTCAGTGCTTTGCAGGACTAGATCCTAGCACTGACCACCACACTGCATTGCACTTGGAAACTTATCTTTCTAAAAATTGTTTGTTGGAGCATAAGAGGATTTTTTAATGTTGGAAGACCACACAAGCAATGGAGTTAGATTGCTGGTCAGGCTTATTCTGTGCAAATGAAAACATCAAGTGTATGTAAACAGGTGCTGCTATTGTGAGTTCTCAGTCAGGTTACACTGAAAAGAATTGCCATTTGATGTATTTTGAAGTGTTGTTTGTAATGTTTTAAGTGTGCCATGCCTGAGCATGCCATTCAGCCTGGTACCTTGTGTTGAAAAGATCAGTGACTTGAATGTGTCTGGAATTAAAACCTTACTTCTTTCTTGTTTGCTATTGTTAGGTGTAAGCAATTGAGGACGACACTTCTTGCTGTCCAGAGATGGAAAACAACATAACTACTATATCTCGTGAAGAGCTTGAAGACCTAAGAGAAGCATTTGGCAAAATAGGTGTGTTTTAGATAAGAAAATAATAAGGATGTCATTAACACTGCACAACTGTTTAGGATTTGTGGAACCCTCTCGTTTGGATAGGGCCATGTTTTCCCTCTATGTTGCCAGTAATATCTAAGAAAATAAGAATACTTGCATAAAGGCCCTTATTTTAACTGAAACTGTGTTCTTTCAACTTCAGCACTGAAAACAGATACATTTTCTTGCTGGGCAGTTGCCTTATTTGTGACATTGTATACACAACATAACAAGTCTCAAAACCCAACTTTTTTTAAGCTTCAGGTGTTACATATTTTCATGTGAAATTACTAACACTTGGTTTTTGCTTTACTTGCATGCTTTGGTGAACTAATAACTTCTCTTTTTGTTGATTTGATCAGATCTTACATTTTAAGTGAGCTAAATGTGGAGGTATTTTGATCTTGCTTTTGTTGCTAGCAGATGTTAATAAATAACTGTACAATTTTGTATGCTTGACAGGATGTTTGCAGGTTAATCAGAGCAAAGAGAAAGAATGAGAAGTTATATAGCAACTAACCTTTATTTCCAGACTGCACTGCTGTTGGGAATGTTAAAGTTCATGTCTGCTTTGTTTCTTGTTTGCTGCAGTTCTGAGGGGTGATGTGTAGCTGTACAGCTCAGCAAATAAACCAAACATATTTGTAGTCAGTCATAATAGGTGCAACAGGGTCATTTTAGGCAGGAAGTCTTAAGTATAAGGAGTCTTCAGCTTGGTAGATAAACCATTGGGAAGCAGTGTGTTCAAGATTTGTAAGATCATGGGTAGTATGGAGAAGGTGAGGAGGGAATTATTCGAGTTTTGTCAATCACGTGATGCCCAGTAGAGAGTCAGAAACCTTAGAGGGAATTATTCGAGATTTGTCAATCACATGATGCCCAGTAGAGAGTCAGAAACCTTATAATAAAAATGAGTAACTTTTCTTCCCATCTCATGACTTGAGATGTTGTTGAGACCAGAAAATAGTAGAGTTGCTAAAGGGAGTAAGATACATCCATGGAAGGTAATTCATGAGTTGCTATTAAACAATCATTTTGACATCTGTAGGTCAAGGAGTCTATAGCAGGTGCTGGAAAGACAGAGCAAAGAGAAGAGCACTATATATGTGTATCAGCCTGCTGGGAGTTGTTAGAATAGGCAGATACTCATTGATGTCTGACAGGTTTTCTCTTTGGTCCTCACCATCTGCATTCCTTCTTTTTCTCCCTCTCCTGCCTGCCTGTTTTCATGTTTCTGCTATAAGAATTTTTTGTACTGTTCCTACTCACTGAAAAGCATTTTCTTCCTCATGCTTTCTGGAAAACCAAAAATTAAGCATCATTAAGTTTTATGGTTGGGTTTTTTTTTTTTATTTTTTCATTCTTCCATTTCCAATGTCTTTATGGATAAATTGCTTGCAGCTGTATTGGTAAACTGAGAGAAGGCATGTCTTTAACTCTCTGCTTGTCATCATGGAAACTTACCCTCAGTGAAAGATGAACCTAGAGAAATAAAATAGCTGGTAACCTGAGTGAGCTCATGAGCATGTCCTCTGCTGGTTTAGGCCATCCCTGTTATTACCTGTGTTTTTACATGTCTGCAAGCCAGTGGATGAATCAAAACATATGCAGACATAATTGGTCTGTGTAGTGATTTGTGAATTAGTGGTGGTATTGAAAAAACAAAATGGTTCTTTTTTTTTTTCCAGGTGTTTTTAGCCTTTTGTCAGCAGTGAGCTCATGAGCATGTCCTCTGCTGGTTTAGGCCATCCCTGTTATTACCTGTGTTTTTACATGTCTGCAAGCCAGTGGATGAATCAAAACATATGCAGACATAATTGGTCTGTGTAGTGATTTGTGAATTAGTGGTGGTATTGAAAAAACAAAATGGTTCTTTTTTTTTTTCCAGGTGTTTTTAGCCTTTTGTCAGCAATGTGGCTGGGTTGGTGGTATTGAAAAAACAAAACGGTTCTTTTTTTTCTTTTTTTACCAGGTGTTTTTAGCCTTTTGTCAGCAGTGAAATGTGGCTGACTTATGAAGCTGTACAGGAGCTATGTAGTGTAGTATGGATTACAAGAAAATTACTGTCTAGCAATCAATTATAGCTAGAGATGAAAGCATGTTTCTCTGCCTGCCCTTCTGTAATGAGAGACATGTTCATCCACTCTGGTGGTATTGGCTGAGTTCTGGTACTAAAGACAATATGGAGAGGTCTTGAAACTAGTAAATGAAAACAACCCAAAGTGGGAGCACCTTGACAAGTCAAAAAATTGGTCACACCATCTTGCTTCTATTTCTGACTCGTTGTAATGTTCTGTTAAATTACTTAGCTTAGATGTATCATTTGTATAACCACAAAAATACAATTAACTAATGCTTTTCAAGAGCTTTAATGTGATCATGAAAGACATTGAAAATTGTTGTTAAACATGGAAAATATTAGCATTCAATATAGAAAATGACAGACATTACATCCAGCATTACTTACGCTGAATATGATTTCTTGTATTTGATTGATCTTCATCTATACTGTATGTGGACTATAGTTTTTCTGCTTTTCAAAGTACTTCTCTGCATTGCATAGCCAGTGCACTACAAGTGAGGCTATTTTACTGGACATCCTGAAATTCTGCTTGTATAGATAGATATCTGTATGCATATATATGCAAATACACATAAATATAAAGAAACATGAACAGTTAATGTGATTGATTCATTTATCTGTTACTTTGGATAAAAACAAATGTGTAAAATGATGCTTTGTTGCCCTAAGATGAATTCAAGACACTTTCTGCACAGAGATTGGTATAAGGTGAAATACAAAGGGTATTTTTGATTGTTTCTGTGTTACTGCATTATTCAACATGAATAACATAAATTACACTGAATTTTTCTTGGTTTATTTTATATGATACAGCCATTAATTTCTTTCCACAATTGTGGAGCTATACCATACCTCTTGTTGGAAAAAAATCATTCTGATACTTTGTGGTACATGCACATTCCTGACATGTGATCTTGGGAGCCAAGTGTAAGGGAAGGTAGCTGTACAAATTGCTCCCAACAGAGCTAGTTAATAGATAAAGGAAGGTCACCCTTGATAAACAGGTACAGATCATCCTGGATTTATTCTTCACAGGTAAGCCTAAACACATCAAAAGTTTTGAAGCACAAAAAATGTCTCCGATACAGGGATAAGAAACAAAATACAGAGTCAGGCAGAGTTCTCTGTAAGTTGTTTTTCTTGTGTAAGTGTGCACTTGTAATAACAACATGCATCAGATTTGAGTTTGCCAATTGCAAATGGTACAATATTCACTGTAAGCATATGCTAATTGTTCTCCTTTCACCTGAAGGTTTAGAAATAGTTTTGTTGGGAGTCTTGAAAAAAACTCAGCTTCAACTTTTCTATGCACAGATTTGCCATCTTGTTGTAGCTGTGCTTTGGTATGGTGAGATAGTTCTCCAGAAAGTACATCACAAGGTGGCACAAGTCCTAGCCAGCTGTGTCTCTAATCCACCAGTATTCCTTCCTGCTTACCTTTGTCAGAAGAAGAAATACTTATCACCTAGAACTGCAGTTTTCACATTTTATTTATTCTTAACAATTACCGTACTTTGTTCTTTATATAAATATAACAACAACTTGTGCTTTCATTTTTGCAGACATTGACAACAGTGGCTATGTCAGTGATTATGAGCTTCAGGACCTGTTTAAAGAAGCAAGTCTACCCTTGCCTGGTTACAAAGTCCGGGAGATTGTAGAAAAAATCATTGTAGTGACAGATAGCAACAAGGATGGGAGAATCACCTTTGAAGAATTTGTTTCTGTAAGACATTCCCTTTGGATGTTGCTCTGCACTCTGATATCTGTTGAGAATGAAGATAAATTAGAAAACTGAATTAAGTGGTACAACGAAGTACCATTTTTACATAGATATAATTATTATTTTCAGTTTTCTGTGATGATTTAGAATATCCTCTATAGTTATTTTCTAGTGTTTATCTTTCACTTTCCTATTTAATAGATCTGATTTGGGCAGCATGTGAGAGCACAGCAATTACCATTGGTCCTGCTTTCTGTTTCCTCAGAGATGAGGGGATGGGCTGTGTATTGTAGGAATTGCTGGGTCAGCCCCTGCTCTGACAGAAGAGCAGATCATTAGGTATCAGCCTCTGAAACATTTAGTAGTGCAAACATTAGTCTTAGCACTATGCTTAATCTCTATACTAAAGGCTAATTGTTACTGGGAGTGAGGTACTGTTTTTCCCTTTCAGTGAACAAATTTCAAATATTCAGACATTTTTAGTGTGGATCACTCACCAGTGGTGCTTCAAGAGAAATAAAATCTTTCCACACTGGTGGTTTGTGTGTGTATTTGGGGATGACATTTTCCTTGGAATTTAGAGTACTGCTGCTAATTGCAGCAGGTTGCTTGTTGAACCAGTTATTGATCTTTCTTTCCAAGGTTCTAATTTGTAGTGGTTCATAGGTGAGATGCAATTATTTGCCTCCTGGTACTGAACTGTATCTGTTCCTTATAATTCATTGTCAGTTTGAAACCTCTACAGTGTTTGGACAAATCTAGGACATAACAGTATAGCCAATGTGGTTTACATTGCAGGCAGGTAAAAAATGCTATTCTGTTGATTAAGGGCATGTGCAAGTGTCACCTTTTACTGTGAAGCATATAGTGACATAAGTGGAAGGAATATGCTGTAGTAATCAAAAATGTGTATATCTGTAGGTGTGTTCTTCAGTTTACCAAAATACCTGTGCAAAAATTGGGTAGGTTGTTGTATGTCTACTTTTCTAGATAACATGGCTTAAGAAAGGTACTCACTGAGGAATAATGTTAGGTATCCAGTGTGCAGGTTTCATGAAGAGATTTAAACTAGTTTTACCCATACATTAAATTTCTTTTTAGAAGAGAAATCTCTATAAATATCAAAGGAAGGCAGTCAGGTTAACTAGTGACTCTAGAGTACTTGTATGAAAGAACTCTTAGTTATTTGAAGGGATGATCAATCACAAAATGCTTTCAATTTTTTTTTTAATTCCAGATAATTCAGGAATTGAAAAGTAAAGATGTCAGCAAATCTTTCAGAAAATCAATAAACAAAAAGCAGGGCATTACAGCAATTGGAGGAACATCAGCAATATCAAGTGAAGGAACACAGCACTCTTATTCAGGTAAGAAATAATTCAACATGGGCAAGTTTTGCATGGAGGAAGACTCTTTTTTAATTTGCACTACAGATGAAGGAAAAAAACCCAAGTGGTAAATGTTGGTGTTGAAAGCAAATTAGCACAGATGAAGCCTGTGGAGATAGACAAGGTATGTGTCGATGATATTTAGTAACTCTGTTCAGTTGTTTCTAGTTCCATGCTGCACTTGGAGGCAAGTTGGGCATCTTCATGAGAGCAAAAGAGGAAAACAAGCACTTGACAGCATATTGGTGGTTAAAAGGCCCCTTTGATGCTAGTGAAGTTTTTGCCTTCATTACATTACTCTTATTCCCAATATTCAGATAAAAACAAATCCCTGATTTCCTTTTCACAGTGTTAACTACCATAAACTAAAAAAACCCCAAGCAAACCACCATATATGCTTTCTGGATGGAATGGCCTCCTCAGCTGTCTCTGCTGTTACATAATTGTTCACTCCTACATGTTTTTTGCATAGCTTCTCTCTCACACTTAAGAAGCTGCTTTTAATATTTGATCTGTTCTTTCTACCTCCCTTGCTGCATGTAATTTAAGTTGGTAATTGTGCCTAATTGCATTGCAGCTCCTGGCCAGAGTGTTAACCACCTCCCAGGATCATATTGCAATCAGCAGTATTGCAATTTTTGGGACTGGATTGACTGGAGTGTGGAATTTGCCATGGTTCCAGCACTGTGTTAAGATTCTATTTAAGGGGAAGATTCACTTTGGTTAGCCAAAGGTGATGGTACCCCATCTTTCAAATTGATTCACCAGCTGCACTTGGTGCATCTCCAAAGTAGGGGGTGTGTTTCATCTCAAAGGATACCTGTGGGGCATCAGAGCTGATTGTTTAGACTCTTTCATTTTTGGTGGAGAGAAACTGACCCCACTAGAGTGCAAGTCATCTGGCCTGGCCTCTCAGCCATCTCATTTATGATGAGATGAAGTGTGCACTAAAATTTCACGTTTCCCAGTGCCAGTGAAGGCAGTGTAATGAGTCAGGTGTAGGTACCTGTCTTGTTTGCTTCTTGAAGTGAGGTGAATACTGTTGGGGAATTCAGATACTGATACTTGATTGACTGTTATCCAAATAAGCTTTCTTAGATACATACTAATAAATTCTGCACTAAATATGAAAGAGAATTTAAAACTGAGATACTAAACTTAAGTTTCTCAGAGCTCAGTAATCCAGATCACAGTCTCAAAAAGACTTCAGACTCTGAAGCCCTAGTAGAAGGCAGAATGAAATGCTGCATTTTAAGCCAGGGGTGTATAGTTTGAGGTGCTGCATATTTCAGATGGGAAATTTCCCTCTCTTTGTAATTGCTGAGAAACTCAGTCTGAAGTCAGCCATGAGGATACTTTCCCTATTATGTCCCTATGATTTTTGTGTTATCCTTCAGAAAATCACCAGACATTTAGAAGGTGCAGTGGGAAAAAGATCAACTTGTACTCACAGTGTTTGTGTTCTTTCCCACTGATCTTATTCTTTCCATAATGGCCCCTGTGAAACTAAGGGTTTTGTTGCATATGAACCTCTTTGACCCAAGTATGATGTTTAGTAGAATGTGTTCCTGGAAATTGTAATCTATTATTTTAATGCTGTATTTCTTTTCAGAGGAAGAAAAAGTTGCTTTTGTTAATTGGATAAACAAAGCTCTACAAGATGACCCAGACTGTAAGCACCTCCTACCCATGAACCCATCTGATGCCAGTCTGTTCAAATCCCTCGCGGATGGAATCCTTCTTTGGTGAGTCCAAGGCTGGGAGAAAGAAAAGAAATTAATCTCCAAGGTTAAATGCTGATCACGGTGGCATGAATTGGAAAACTTCTGACAGGCTTTAACATTAAGACTTCACTTTAAATATTTCAAGCAGTGGGTAAGATGGGAAAATCTGTTTGTCCATAGAAATGTGATTTTTAGCAAATTTTTATGTGACTCTGTGCATACGTTATAGAAGTAGTTTTCCACTTCAGACCCATAATTATACATGCCAGATATGCCCAGGCTGTTTATAAAGGAGCTAATTGCACAGTCCATATATTCATTAGGTGAAATAATTAGAAAACTTGACTATTTCAAATATTTTTAAATGCTACTATAGTTACTGAATCATGGGATGGAAGGAACAGAAATATGGGTTAAATTCATGCCAAAACAGAGAGCATATATTAAGTCCCTTAACTTTGCTCTGCTATAACTTTCTAGTTAGTTAAAGTAGATTAATAGTACTTACTCAACCACCATGGTAACAAGGGATTAGCATGTTAGTGTTGGTGTGAATTAGCCTTTGAGATCAATGTAGGTCCAAGGGACTACAGAAACACAGTGCAGAAATATACTGATGCTACCAGAATGTTTTCAGTAGAGACCATTTAACTGACTTTAGTTCACAGTTTGAATCTTCTCAGGAACTTTTTTGACAGTACAGACATGCTCTATTAATTATAGAACCCAATTGCTTGAGTCTCTTACAGCAACATCTTCTCTGGGGTGTTCTGAATGAATGTGCAGTTATTTAAAAGGGAGAGGAGGTTTAGAGGGTGGTCTTTTTTTTTTAAATCTTGACAGAAATATTTGCAGCTAGTTGAAAGTGTTAGGAGTTTATAATCAAATAAGATTTTCTGAGAAATGAAAGTTTGAATAAACTTTTGACTTTTCTTCCTTAGCAAAATGATCAACTTTTCACAACCAGATACAATTGATGAAAGGGCTATTAATAAGAAAAAACTCACTCCTTTCACTGTTTCTGTAAGTACTGCATGGATAGGAACTTGACACAAATGAAATAGTAAAGTGTTTTCTGTTTTAATGACAGTTCTCCTGGAGAAGAAAAAAATCCTATGTAATAAAATAATCTTAAAGCATGAACTTGTATTTTCTAATAAACTCTGCTGAATTCTCCTGTTTCTTAGATGATTTACAGGAAAACTTATATTTTTCATGCTTTCTCTATTTGCTGTCTTTATTTTGCTTTACCAAATATCTGAAGAAAATAATTTTAGACTTCTGAGTAGATGGTCAGGTTGTATTTTAGCAATGCAGAAAGTATCTGCATGGCTGTATACTGTGTGGTAGTCAGTGGTTTTCACTAGTAGAGAGCAGCATGGACAGCAGATGAGAAACTCTATTTTTAATTGTGTCTGAAGCCATGAAAATATGTGAGCAAAACAGTTTTTAAGACCTTAGTTTGGGTTTAAGAAAACAGGTCTGGAAAGGGAAGTACATGCATAAGTTTCCAGCCCAATGAGAAGAAAAGTGCTGATTAAAAACCTCAGTTAATTGACATACTTTTCAGGCTGTGATGTTAAAACATAATATATTCTAAATCCTCCAAGTGGGTTTTGTAATCTCTACTTCTTTAAAGAAGATTTGTCAGCAAAGGTGATACTACCTGTGTTGGTGTTGTCTCTGTAGATAGTTAAAATACAAGAAAATAGTAATATTTATGAGATCTGTCAAGTATTTTTTCCTGGAATGTTTCATCTGTGACAATCACTAGCTTTACTTTCAGTGTCAGGGTGTTGAATTGCCATGATTTTCTTATGCTCTCCATTCAATTACAATTTAACAGTTGCTTGAATAAATGTGTCAGCCTGTCTAAGATTCAAGATGGGATGACAGTGGTGTCAGTGGCCTCCTGCACAGGGCAGAATTCCATATGAACACATTTTTCCACAGCGTCAAGCCCCTGATATTTTGAGCAGTATCATTTAATTTGTATATCTGATTTATATCATGTATATCTGATTATTCCTCGGTGGTCCAAGCTCCAGAAGGTGGTCCACAGTCTTTTTTTGGTGGGTCCATGTTAAACACTGTCAATAATGTTTTCCATTACATTTTAGTAAGATGAGAGAGAGTTCATAAAATATCTCTGAGTGCAGTTTTCCACTGGGAATCATTGAACTAATGCATTATTTCTTCCAAAGTTTAATATGAGCGAATCTACTAGGAATTCCAGCCTCGTAAGTTTGTTAAACAATGATATTCCAAATAGGAAAACCTAAACCTGGCACTGAACTCAGCATCTGCCATTGGCTGTACGGTTGTCAATATTGGATCACAAGATTTGCAAGAAGGAAAACCACACTTGGTGTTAGGACTCTTGTGGCAGATCATTAAAGTTGGTCTTTTTGCTGATATTGAGCTCTCCAGAAATGAAGGTAAGAGTAATGCCAGGTATAACAATGTCAGCCATTTGAGATGAGCTGAGACCACAACAGCAATGATTTCAGCTTTCTTTCAAACTTGCCTTTAGCTCTTATTGCCTTGCTAAGTGATGGGGAAGAACTAGATGAGTTAATGAAGCTTTCCCCAGAAGACCTCTTGCTGCGCTGGGTGAACTACCATCTGGCTAATGCAGGGTGGCAGAAAATTGGTAACTTCAGCCAAGACATTAAGGTATGTATTTATTTGCTCTGATAATTGAGTGTAATGGTATTAAGATGCACAATGCATAGAAACAAATTAGTCAGATCAGAAAATATTAGAAAAAATAGTAATCTGCTTTTCTAGTTGTAGGTTCATCCTGCATTTTTCAACACTGACAGAGCATTATTTTCATCTCTCATACCCTACTGAGTTGCTCATACCATGTATTACCTCATCACAGTGCAAAATGAACTTTTCCAACAAGGTCATATTCAGGGGAGCTCTAACGTTCTCAAATGACACCAAGAAGGGTGTTATTAAAGCAAGCCTTTAACTAGGGTTTTTTATGAAAACTGCCACTATGGTAGAAGTATTATATGCTGTTTAAGAGAAGTATTAAATACTTCCAAAACTAGTAGGGTTTTATTCTATTCTCCTAGTTTCTTACTGGGCGCGGGGGGAGGAATCCAGAAGCATCCTGAAAACTATCAAGTAATTTCTTTTGTCACTATAGCTTCATCCTAAAAAGAGCCACTTTGCTCTCCATTTTTAAATGCCAATTATCTCATTGATTAAGAAAGATAAACTTTCATGAAACAGTCTATTTGAAAAGGATAGTGAAGAAATAAAGTAGCAGCACTGAATATATGATCCAAATTGGGGTGTTTTTATGGGGAACCTATATAAATTTGCCTCGACTATCTTAATTATAATGGCCTAGGTAATATTCAGGAGAATACATTTCACTAGCATAATTAGCAGACTTTGCTTTTCTCTGTCACCTGGCTAAGTTCTATGTGAAACAGTGTAGTGAAATGGCTCTAGGGCCTCATCCCTATTCACTGAAATAAGTATTCTGACTTCTCTGGCTTTTGAATTGGCCTGCTAGGCAGTAAATGGCAAGGGAAAGGCTACATACTTCCTTTGTTTTTATTTTCTTAAAAATATTTCTCTGCTTGGTTTAGGATTCAAGAGCTTACTATCATCTGTTAAATCAGATTGCACCCAAGGGAGATGACCTTCATCAACTGCCCATGAAAATTGACTTTTCAGGAATTCATGTAAGTATCCAGAAATGTAAAAATAGACTGGAATTATGTGAGACCTGTGTATGTGTCCAACATCCTGGTTACTGGGCTGTCCCTGAGTCCTCTTTTGTTTTCTAACACATTGAAAACTCAGATTCCTCAGTGTTATAAAAGTTTAAATGGGTAAAAACTTGAGGTAAGTTTCAGAGTGCTGCTGAAACAGGATAATGCATCCTGCAGTCTAAAGTTTGGAGCTGTGTTTTACTTGGAGTAGTGTATGTTTATTTTCAGCTGGGTCATCCAACATGAATATTAGCACGTCCTGTTCAGTTCTGCTTCTCTGGAATTCAGGAAAGCAAAAAGAGTAGACTTCACAAACCTTGTGCTCCTTCCTCAAACCAAATAGCATTCAGACATAGCACGTGAGTCCTTCCAATAACCAGCAGGAAAGTGTGGCATCCATCAAGCTCTAAGTTGTGAAGGGACAGAGGGTCTAAAACCAGCCTACATGGATGTGAAAACACCTTTGTCTGAGCTGCTACATAGTGCTCCTTGGAAGGATTATTATGAGAATGCAGTTGGTACAAAGTTGAACTGGGTGCCTGAGGTACCTACATCTATAGAGCAACCAGAATCTAAAGTAGAATCTTGTTCTTCATTATAATAATGAAACCCCTGTGCAAAATTGTTTGCTTCCATGCTTTAATCCTCTCAAACTCCTTCATAAGGAGAGCTCTGTTTTCTTTGTTTGCTCTTGTTTTGGGATGTTTTTTGGGGGAGTGAGAAAGAATAGTGGTTAGTTTTTTCCTATAGTTCATATGAATGTGTTCTGTAATGAGTTATAAACCAAAATATTAAAAATAAAGGTGAGTGAACAAAACATATAGGTTGCCAACCTATGATGATTCAGAGGCAAAAATATTAGAAGGAAAGCAAGTCTGAAGCATTTAAATTCTTACTGAGGATTTTAGACATCAACTGCTATGACTATGCTTGAGAATATCAGTTTAAAGCAGTGATGGTGAACCTTTGACATGTGTACCAGAATATACAATATGGGAATCAGCAGTCTGGAAATGAAAATATAATCACTGCACTTCTGGCTGCATTTGCTGTGATTCATGAGGAATGTTGTGTTGGCAACCACAGAAGTGAAGGACAGAAAGAAAGTAGGAGGAAGAGGGGAATTGTCATGGGCTGTAAGAGCTAGCTCAGGCATTGGGGGAATGTGGGAGGAACTGGCATGGGGCATTTAAAGATTTTCCTAACTGAAGGTTCAGTAAAAAGTGAAAACATACTAGTACTTACTGCAAATTGATTTGTGTTTGTTTGCTTTTCTTTTAGGATAAAAATGACTTGAGGAGGGCTGAATACATGCTCCAACAGGCAGATAAATTGGGCTGCAGACAGTTTGTAACTCCAGCTGATGTGGTTGCAGGCAACCCTAAACTCAATTTGGCTTTTGTTGCAAATCTCTTTAACACATATCCAGCCCTGCACAAGCCTGACAGTTCATCTTATGATCTCAATTTATTAGAAGGTACTTTAACTTACTAAGCATACAGAAAAAAAGAATATTAGTGATTTCTATTTAGATATTCCTTCTAGGTTGTGCTAGAGAATCCCTGGGTGATGTTGCCTGTGTTTTCTCGGTAGCAATCCATATAAGCCTTAATAGAAGTCCCTGTTCTTGTGTTTGCTGTTCACTTGTGTTAGCCTGATCAAATGGTTATTCCTGAATAACCTTCTATCATTCACTTGCAGGAGCAAAAACTGTCCTACTTTTCTTCCAGTTTCCTATGCTTTCCATACTATTTATTTACTTATTTAGCTGATATGCAAGTTCTAGCCTTTCTTAATTTGCAGTGCAGCACCATGCAACTGTAATAGTCTTTAAAAGTATTTTGCACATACTGCATTTATATATGTGTGTGTTTGTGTATTAGTTTGTTGCCTTTTATAGGAGGAAACATTTGTTTTAAGAAAGGCTTCTGCATCAGCACCCTACATTAATCTATTGCATCAACAGCCTATAGAGATCCTATCGTATCAGGAAGTTTGGCCTTTAACTGTACAGTTCAGATCTCTAAAGCTAGAGATTAAGGGATAATTGTTAACAATCTTTGGCTGTTGCCCTTGCTGTGGACCAACTAATCTAGGATAACGAAACGGCTCCTGCCAGTGTATTTCAGTTGTTCACTGATCTCAAAGGAATGTGAGATTCAGGGGTGTCGCACTCGGGAGAATCATCAGCAATGTTCACATATTCCTCTGCACTGCCTACTCCTGCCTTCCTCTTACTGTTCCTATCAGGTTTCCTTTCCATTTAGGTGAGTCCATCTTCCTTTGCTCCTTTTTTTCATGATTTGTCTGCGCTGCTGCATCCCTATGTCACAAATCTTGTATCCCTCAGACCATTCCTGTTCCAGGCTTCCTGCTCTCCTAGCTTCAGCTGGGTGCCAGCTGTGATAGACGTGTCAGAGCACAGGACGTAGTCTTCCCTTTTCAGCTGTGATATCCCCAGTCCCTGCAGTCCCTGCTGTCCAGGACAAATGATTGAAGGAAAGGTCTGCTCTTCCTCTGCTGCAATTCTGTTAGAAATGTATGCTCTTGGAAATGTGTACAGGAGCTGTGTGCAGGTGCAATATGTTCAGCTTCTCTGTTCTGAAGATAAAGCTGCAGATGCAATTTGAAATACTGAAAACTTGGTCAAATTTGGAAGTTTTCATTGGCATGGCAAAAAACAGCTGTACTAATTTCTGGATTTTCCTGAAATATTTAGATGAGATCAAAGTCTCAGCTGAAACATTTGTAAAAAGTTACAGTCACCTGAATGCTAGACTATGATTTCGTAATGATAAATACTGGCCAATTTAACTTACTATTTATAGCATATATTTTAGAGATGGATAATCATGCCAATGTAGTCTGTTCAAAGGCAAGTCGACAACTCTTCTTTGCACCCAAGTAATAACTCCTGTGGTGTCATGTAGTTCTAAACCATCAAAATAGTTGTTTCAGCCAAAAGATACATTATTAATGTGGGTTTTTTTTGTCTGTTAATATGTTTGGTTTTTTTTTTTCCATAAAATCCTGTGTTTTTACTGATGTTTTCTCAAGGTAGTGATGCGAAATAACATTCATTTCTTTATAGTTTCATCATAGATTGTCTGTTGAAATCTGACTCATAATTTATAATGCTTTCCTATTTTGCTTCATGAAATGCAGATTTGACCCCTCCTAATGTAGGTACTGTATTTAGTACTTTTCTGTACTCCATAAAAGTGTTTATTCTGCAATTTTTTTAAATTTTTTTTTCCTAGTGTTTAATCATCTCTGTCCTTTTCTGGTTGATCTTTTGCATTGTTCTTATATTTCTCTATTGTTTTAATATGCCGTCATAAGTAAAAGAGAAGGAAAAAAACCCCACAGGTCTGATGCATATAAAATGGGGGCAAGAGTTGCAGTAAGTCAAATGCCATACAGTTATTTCTATGGGTTTAGTCAGTAAGGGCTTTCCATGAGCTGAGCTGTCAAGCTGTAGGCATGTGTGGGTGAGTAGTGCTTTCTGATAGTCTTCATTTTCCTTCAGAAATTCCATCTTTCCAGGGACTGTTCCACCCAAAGAGTATGATGTGGTTCTTCAGTTTAAGACAATGAATGCTGTGCATAACCTAACATCTGCTGTAATAATACTTACCAAGCCTGGTGATGTGTACTTGTATACCAAGAGTGTATCCCTCAGGAATATAGACACAGCCAAATGAAGTTTTGATCCGGTGCGGGGTGGAGAGGGCAGTCCTGACCTCAATTAATGTCCAACCTTTGCATGTTGCTGCTGTTCCAAGGGACCTCTCACTTGAGGGGAAAGCAGCAGAGTTTGGAGTCAAAGTCATATAGAAAGCTGAGTTCTTTGGGGGGGGAGAAAGAGGAGGGACTTAGGTCCACCTACATTTTGTCTAGCATAGATGTCCTCTGCTGTTGCTTGGATTGCTGGCAGTCTTCATGGCTACCATGAGATGTTTTAACTGCTCCCACTCAGGCTGCCTCAACTTAGGGTGCCAAATTGCATCTTGAGCTCTGTTGTCTTGCAGAGAGAATCTTAGGTATTTGGAGCCCTTTGGATTCTTGACTGCCCTCCCTATGGCTACTCCCCACTCAGTTCCACAGTATAATGATCTCAAAGAAAGAGATGGCAATAAATATAAAGAATACTACCAAATTTGCTCCTCTCTCTTTTGTGTAGCTCTGCCCCCTTTCTGCAGTTTTCCAATGATTTTGGCTATCTGCTGCACCACTCAGCAGAAGATATGCTCCTGATAGGATCACAAGGTATATTTTGAATAAAAGAATAGAGAGAAAAAATTGGTCAGTTCTTAGGCATCTGGAAAACTTATGAACTCTTATGTGTTGCATGATCAAGGGACTTGTTTAGAGTGGCATATTAAATATAGTATGCTGGGTTTAGTTCCTGGATTCCCACTGTCCAAAAGGATCCTGTCCAACTTGCATGCTCTTGCTCCTGCTTGGCTACTTTGGATTCTTTTGGCAATGTTAAGCATGCATTTTAAAGTTCCCAGTCTGAGTGCAGTTGCTGAGTATGTGTTTTTGTAGCTACACTGTTTTACTACACAGTTCGTTAAGTCACCTTGTTACTGTCTTTGCAATGGACAAGTGTTCCTAAAAACACTTTGCAGTCAGTATGTTATGTATTGCAAATCAACTCAAAGCTCAGTAACCTTAAAAACATCCAAACAGATAAATAAAGCAAAAGGGACTTGCTTTAAAATACTGTAACCTCTAAAGATACTCTCCATAAACTAACATTATATATCATGCTCGAGTTGTGATTGGGTTTTTTTAAAATGGAAAACCTGATATTTTTAATAACTTTGTCACAAAATGTGATTATTCTTCTTGTAAATTTTAATGTGGCAAGAAATCTGTGAAACAAAGCTGACCTTGAAGAATAGTATTTTTCATTGTTTCAGCATGTATTCATCAGTGACTCTTTGGTTATTTTTACAAGTAAATATTAGAAATTAATACTAGTTTGAATTGCATATGAAGAAACTCATAATTTAGAAAACATATCAGTAGGATTTTTTTAAGTGAAATTTATTCTGTTAGAAATTATTGGCTATGGCTGAAATCTCTGAAGTCCAGAGCTTCTTGTATAAAAGAGACCTAGATTAAAATTGTAACCTCTGTCTAAAAATCAATGTTATGACATAGGTCTGTGCATGCAAAAATAGTATTAAAGACATTTTCTTTCTAGTCTAATGATAGATACATGTTTACACAGTAGCTTCATTTTGCAAAAACATTCATTTTTCTGTAGTCAGCCTAGAACTGCAATACTAAATGAGACAGTTTTCATGCTATGTAAACCTCATCAGGCAAACTCAGTGTCATTACCCTCTAAGGAGCAAATGAGAATAGCAAGAAAAGTCTCAGATTTTTGTGCTTCAGTCCAGAGAAACCTGTTCTTTCATTGTTTGAGGAGGTTTTCTCCCTTCTCAGTGTCCTCTCTGTTTTCTTAACTGTGGATTATCAGCCCAGGGGAATAAAGTGATGAGGTTGTTCCAAGCTCACATACTCAGGCTAAATATTTTCTTAAATGCTCTTCTTTGATGAAAGAGAAAGCAGCTGATGCAGCACTGATTCACATGCAGTTGGCCACGGATACATTGCTAAAGTTTAGGTAGTAGCGTGTGTAGAAAATTAAAGTGTTATTTCACACTAACTTTGTAGAGAAAGAGCAATAGTTTAGGACTCCTAATTGCAATAGGTAAAGCAATCTAAACCAGCAAAGTGAAGGTTGGGATTTAGGTCATAATACATTTTCTGCAGGCCTCATCAGCAGAGTTGCTAGTTAAAACTGTAGGGATAACTGGGCCCCTTGGCAGTATAAATAGCTTCCCAAATGTAGCCAGTTCATCACTGCCTTGCTCAGTCTCCAGGGCTAAAAACTAAAAACGTGAGGTGTGTTGCTTTGGGGAGGCCCTTTGCAAACTAATACTGGGAAATTCTTTGTGGGGTGAGTGGAGCTGTAGTTCCTGGAGTTTAAAGTAATTGCAGTAAGTGTGCTAGTATTAACTTTTAATCAAAAGATGCCATTTCAAACAGATGTAATGATACCATGGAATGCAATTTGCACCCAGTTTTAGGAAATCATTATTAAGCATTGCTATTTTCTCCATGATATATTAATTATGTAAAGTGTAACAAAAAAAATACCTATTTCTGTATTTGACTGAATTGTATTTACACTGAAAAATGTAGTCTGAAGGTACTCCCTGTAGTGCCTCTGTCCCTGTGCCAGGACAGGCTGAGTAGAATTGGATAGGATTGCCTTGATTATTGGTATAGACTACTGTTAGGGAAATTGTGAACTCATTTGGGGCTGGAGGGGGGGGTGAGGGATAGGAGAGCCATTTAAACATTGCTTATTAAAATGTTTACTCCAATAATTTATATAGAATTCTATTTGTCACCATAGGAGAAAGTAAGGAAGAAAGGACTTTCAGAAACTGGATGAATTCACTGGGTGTAAGCCCATATGTTAATCATTTATACAGGTAAGTTTTTTTTTAAAACAATGATTTGACTTCCCTTGGATGATGAGATAAGAGAGGGAAGTTGTATATCTACTAGAGTAGTGATTTCCAGTTTTTCACAGAGTGTGATAGGAGCTTCAACACTGGTTTGTAGAGCCACATTAAGAATTTCATTTAGTAAGTAGCTGAAGGAGATTGTCAGAAATCCAATTCACAATGGGAAAATAAGACTTTTCCTACTATTTTTTTTCGCAAGATGAGTACATAGGGTTTGATTATTCTTTAGCAAAATAAATCTGTAGATGCAGATAAAGAATGAGTAACGTTTTCCAAAGTTCTGAGGAAACTAAAACTAGATCAGTAAATGAAAACTCTTTAGCAGATATTTTATCTATGCCCACCCCATGACAGCAATTATTTAATTGAAGTTGGTAAAGCCAGAGGCTGAGATGATTTAATTTTGTTATTTTCATGAATCTTAGTGAAACATAGAATTTGGTGTAAATAACTGCAGAAATCGAGCAGTAGAATATAGATCAGTTTCTCTACAGAATGGCACAAATTTTTATTTGAGTGTCTGGAATTTTTTCAACAATTTCATTACACTTTGAGAAGTCTCAGGTACTTATTTTCATTGTCAATATGAACTTTTGGACTTAAAATCATTGTTTCACTCTCATTTAGTGACCTCTCTGATGCTTTAATCATCTTCCAATTGTACAATATGATTCGTGTGCCGGTTGACTGGAACCATGTCAACAAACCTCCTTATTCATTACTGGGTGGGAACATGAAAAAGGTGGGTGGATACTCTCTAATACAGTCCAGCCTCACTGTCTCCCTTTGTGCTGCTTGTAGCCTGTGTTTTCTAGATTTGTGTGCTACCAAGACAGTCCTGGCAAATAAGAAAGGAAAAAATATCTTCCAGATATTATCCCAAAGAATAAATAGCAGTTACAGCACGTAGCACTTTAGCTTCTAAACGTGGTCACCTTTTACCAATATTTAATTTATGGTCTGAGCTGTCTGTGTAAGTGAAAGTTTCAAGCCTGACGTGGCTGTCATTGCCTGCTGCTCTTGTATCATGAGGTGTTTCCTCATGGAGCAGTTCTGTATGTTGCCCAGAGGATTTGTACAAGGCTTGCAAAATCCAAGTGTTTTGTGATTCATAAAGCCTGAAATTTAGAGGATAAAAATTCCTGTCTGTTTAGAAACAACACGTTTCAACGTTTTGCCAAATCCAGTTTTCATGTAAGTATATTTTAATTCACTGACTTAGTGGAAGTGAATTGGTTTTCTCAAATGTGAAAAAATACTATAATTGGAATCTTGCATACTTGCATTTATAGTAAGACCTGTGTTGTTTTAGTCACAGTGTAGATAAACTAGAAATCTTTCTTGAGCTTCAAATCTCACCATAGGTAACAGTAAGCCAAAGTAATTCAAAATACAAATCAATTATAGGTCTTTATTGCAGAAATATTAAGGTGTTTTCATTATTTGCACACAAAATTTGTTTTCAGATTGAGAATTGCAATTATGCAGTAGAACTTGGGAAGACAAAAGCCAAATTCTCACTGGTTGGTATTGCTGGACAGGATCTAAATGAGGGTAACCCAACTCTGACCTTGGCTTTGGTGTGGCAGCTGATGAGAAGGTAAGTTAGGCACAGTATATCTCTCTTCTCAAATATAAACTTTTCTATGTGTTTTGTAATTTTACATACTATGTAGAAACAGGGATTAAAATTACACATCCTACAGTAAGTAAACAGAGCTCAGCTTTTAAAATATTGATTCCACGTATCTTTCTGTAAGTAGAGAGTAATTTAAATGTTTGTAAAATCCAAGGAAGAGGTGATATATGCTATAAAAGTTAAAAGGGTAAAAAAAATTGTAGGCCATCACAGCTATAGTAATATGCCTGTCATAAAATCAAAATCTTCCAAGTGCACTGAGCAAGAAAAACATTTTATTTCAATAGAGTATTTTATTGCAAATGTTTTCCAGAAGCTAATTTTCTTGGACCTATCCCAAAACACTTCAGGCTTTTTTTTTTCTTTTCCTCAGGCTGTTGTGATTCAGTTCTCAAGGTGACTAGGATGGTAGGGAGCCATTTAAACTTCTAAAATAAAAATAATTATGATGTGCTGAGTAAAACAAATACATGAAGATGATGTTACAGTGAATATTATGAGGTTTAGGATTCTATTTTTTTCTTGCAACCACTGAAAAAGTGATTTAAAGTACTAAATAGTTTATAAGGTAAGGATACCTTAGGGAGAGGAGTTCTTGGCTTTGTTACTCTGATTATGTAATATTTTACTTGTTGCTTTCTGCTGTTGGAAGATTTGAGTTCTACAACTTGTTTTGACTCTGGCTTGTGTTTTCTTTGTTGAAGGTATACTCTGAATGTGCTGTCAGACATTGGAGAGGGGGAAAAAGTGAATGATGAAATTATTATTAAGTGGGTGAATCAGACACTTATAAGAGCATATAAGAAAACTTCGATTACAAGTTTCAAGGTAATCAAATTTATTTACTCTTCTTTCCACCTATAATCAGATCTAGGATTGTTAACCTGATGTGTTAACAATTTGACTTTAACAGTGGCTCTCCCATCAGCTAACATAAGTGTTTAAGGAAAACAATCTGACAAGCAGTTTGTGAAGCTTCAAAAGTATTTTACAAATAGATTAATAAGAGGAAAAAAAGAAATTATAGTAGCTGCAGTAAGATAGATAACAAAAACCCCAACAGCAAAAAAAGAAAAAATAGTCTAAACTTTGAAAGGGGCTTCTGTCTGAAGTTTGGGAATGGCATGTCACATATCTTCCAGACTTTCGAGACAGGCACTCTTGTGCTTGTACCAACATGAAGAATAGTTTAGGAAATATTGGAGGCAGATCCCTGTTGTGAGTGTCAGCGGGTGGAAAAGCTGTACCCCGTGAGACAGAGCTGGGAGAGGGAGCCTGATGTCCCCAGTGTCTCCCTGATGTGCAGCTGGCCTGGGAAGCAGGAGCCTTTCCCCTTGGCAAACACGAGCACAGGGGAAGCTTTTCTGCCACTCGATTGAAGTGTCAGACACAACAGAAGCCATGTGTGTGTCGTGCTGTGTGAATGAATCTCTTGCTTTAGAAACTGCAGATGAACAATTGCACTTGCACACGAATGTAACGTACTTAGGTTCATTGCATCATCCGAAGCAGTTATGTCTGAGGTTCACAGCAGGAAGGGAAGAACCTAGCAAGTCAAATGTCTGACAGCTCACTGTGTTATGACATTTAATTAGCTAAAAATGGAATATCAAATAATTTTGTAGAACAAAGTATTTTCACTGTACAAGGTAGCTTAGCTCTTCATCTTCTTAAGAGATTGTTGCTTCTTTTCTTGCTACGTAACTTGTAATAATGGTGGCATTAAACAAGTTGAAAATATGAAGAGAATCTGTCCTACTGTCTTTTTCTGGTGTGCCTGTGTTTTGAGGGGGCATTGGTTGTCTTCTTAAGGTCATTCAACTGGTGTTTTTAAGATAATTTAATTGATGATTGACCGATAAAGATAAGGAGGTACCAATGTAATGTGACATTATTCAGTATTCCATTATTTACTACTAATTTTTACCACATTCATTGGCTTTCACTCTTTGGATTTAGGGATTACTGCAGCAAGCAGATTGTGCAGTAGAGAACACAGAAGTGCCTGATGTTTTACTGTGGGCTATGAAAGTTCTATCGAATTGCCATTAGTTCAAACAATAAAAATGACAAAAGTGTGGCTTATGGTCTTGGGGATATACTCCATGTGTTTATTGTCTCCAAACAGAATTATATGAGTGGGTTTAGATGTATAATTAATATTGATGGCTCTATGGGACTTCACTGATTGGAAATCCTAGTTCCAACCTGGTGGTGGTGGCAGCTGTGTGACATGGCTCATGTGCTCAGCCACTGCAGGGACAGGACCAGCATCACTGGCACTGTCTGCTCCTGGTTTGACATCACCAGCTCCTCCTCTGCCCCGGCAGCTGGGAAGGAATAATTACAGCAACAGCACTTGCTCTTTTAAGAATGTCTGTGTATTAAATACAAAACACAGACTGCTCATACTCTCTCAGAATACCATCTGAACTGAAAAATTATAAAACAAGTGAGCCACAAAACTACTGCAGAAAATAGTTCCATGGCAAGAAAAGACAAAAAAATTAACGTAGCTGGGGAATGTATATATCTTTTCGCTGTCTCAAAAGTCCAGTCCCTTGAACTTGCATCTATGTTCCCTTCCTTCCTTAGGGAAGGGGGGAAGTGTCATCAAGGATGTGTAAACCATTTGTGTAATAATCAGATTCACAGAGTGAACCTAATAATTCTGATTGCAGAAAAGAGTATTAGATCTCAATGCCATGAAGTAACAACAGGCTTCTGTCTGTCAGTATGTGTATGCAAGATGTGCTGTATGGTTTTTTTTGCATTGTGAAGATGGAATAATCAAAGCAAATTCCTTAAACTAATCTTCTGAGTCTTTTTTTTTCTTCCTTTTTATTTTTTTTTAGGACAGATCAATTAGTACTAGTTTACCTGTCCTAGATTTAATAGATGCCATTGCACCAAAAGCAGTTCGTCCAGAAATGGTCAAGAGAGAAGACCTTTCTTACCAAGACAAATTGAATAATGCCAAGTAAGTTTTAAATGAATGCTTTGCATTTTCCTGAAGTGCAGGAAATGCATGAATTCATGGTGTAATGAGTGACTTGTTGCTTGTTAACAGAGAAAGATTGTACAAATATTAGTTTACTTGTTTCATATGGGATATGAATATGATAAATTCTAATGTTGTTATTTTTCTAGCATATCTAAAATGTGAACTCAAATCACAGCTGATGTGACCTACCAGCACTGCACTGCAGTTGTGTTCTTAATAGCCTTGCATAACCCGGGTTGGGTTGGACAAAAATAAATGATTTGATAACCAGTAGCAAAAGATCTGCCAGTACAATTGCTAATATGTGTTTTCTTCACAGTAATGTTCATTTTCTAGTAGAGGGTAAGTGCTGACTGAACTCTGTATTATCCTGCTGTCGAAGCCTGGTGTTGTGAATCCTGGCACATTTGGAGATGTAAGAAAAATAACAGTATTTACTTTGTCTTGTTTTCCAAGGTATGCCATTTCAGTTGCTCGAAAAATCGGTGCTCGTATTTATGCTCTCCCAGATGATCTGGTGGAAGTGAAGCCAAAAATGGTGATGACAGTGTTTGCATGTTTGATGGGAAGAGGACTGAACAAAATAAAATAATGAAGACATGTAATGTACCTTTCTGCCATGTTAAGCACGATGGATGCCTCGCAGTTTACAGAGTTCTGAAGCTTAGGATGTAAAATGAGAAAAATTGTATGTACAAATATACTCATCAATGACATTTTAATAATGTGTTTATATTAGTTAATTTTATTCAATTTCATAACACATGGTTTATTTATGACTAATACTGTTTTCAGAACACATTCATTACCCGATTAACATCATAGATTTTTGTTGCTGGGGAAAAAAACCACCATGTTAATCAAGCTTCATCTGTATTAGTTTCCATAGCATTGTTTCCATAGCATCATTTTTCATACAGTATTTCAGGACCAATTGTGACACATGGTTTGATTTTTGTGGGTGTTAGTTACATGTAGTCTACAAGTCTCAAGGTGCATTCCAATCCTGTTGTATTACTCCAAACTGCACAGAAATTATCATCCTTGCCTTATTCTTGGAGAGCTAAACTCCTGTTGAGGCCACTGAGAGTCTTGTCATTGACTTCAGTGAGAGCAAGTGAAGGCCTATGATAATGTCTGGAAACTAATGAATATTGATTAAGCTGACGAAACTTTATTGTGGGAATAACCATTAAATATATGTAGTTGTTACATTACTGAGCAGGAACTTTTACATATGAAAAAAAGGCAAACAGAGAGCAGAAATGTCATGTCATTACTAGTTCTGCATATGTGTTAGGTTTTGCAGTTGGACTAAAGATCTGTTGGTTGGGTTTTTTATTTTTCATAAAATGTTGTATTAAAACAATAAAGAGCTGATGAGTCCAGTTTGGGGTTTCACATTACTGTATTGCATTTCCTTATGCCTCACTCCTTTGATTTTTTTCCTAAATTGTGTACAGAGGTTTTCTGTAGAATGACTGGTACATTGTCTGGAGGAGATGAAGTCCATAATTATTTTCTTAGTAAGTTTTCACTAAACATGCTTGAGCTGGACATTTAATAAAGTTGTTACCAGAAGCCAAACAGTAAGAAAACTAATAAAAATGAAAGAGTTTTTTTTTTAAATACGAAGCTGCTACATTTTCTTAGCTTGACATCTTCAGTATCCTGCACATACCATACCAACTGTAAGAGACACATCCATTCAGTTTCTATTAGATCAGGGGATAACTGAGACTTGAGAAAATCAAGTATTTGGATTTGCATCCGTTTGGTTTGTATTGTTTGGACAAGATCTACTAGTTATCTGGTTTCTATTCCCAGTTCCCAATGATGAGTTTTGTACAGTATCTGGGTTCTTTGCCCTGGGTCTGGAGACAGATCAGTGCTCATTCATGAGAGGCTAAATGGAGGCTCATTTCATCTCTATACTCTGAGAATAAATGATCTCTTGACATACACAGACCTGAAGTACTGTATTTGTCTGCCCAGGTACTTGGTACCTTACTCTCTAAGGGTTACTATTTCCTGTGACATAAACTATTCCTGTAGCGTTTTCTACCCCGTGGGGGAAAAAGAATCTGCTACAATTACACGGCTCATTGTTGTATGCCCAGAATTACTTTAAACTTGCTGTTTAAAGCGGATTTTCGTGGGTGATGGTGAGCTGGCGCTGCGCTGAGCAGGGCCGCAGTTCTGTAGCGGCTGGGACAGAGCAGATTGAAGGGAACACACAGGGCTGGGGGCGGCCCGTGCCTTGCCCTGCAGGAGTGTGCTGGTTTGAGCAACACGGAGCCGCGACA